ATTGGCAACAAACAGTCTGCTTCTGTGGTGATTAGAATAAATTTTACTCCATTCTAAAATTTTCCTTGCACGTCTTCGACTCCTATGCACCCAAATGCTGTACTGCAGTTACTTGAAGACAGTGCCTACTTTGGCAACTAAATAGTTGTCCTTACAAACATCCTTAAATAGCATCAAACATCAAATAATTCAATGAAGGCTACAATTAAACTGTAATATGATTGAACTGTAATAGGACTCCCCAATACAAGAGAAATATTCCAATTGGTATGATGGTCTTGTGGGTCAAGTGATTTGTGGCTGACGTAACTATAAACGCATTTGAAAAAATTGATGTCTCTCACTTCATTATCAATAAATCTTTTATAAGCACATTAACTTAAGCAGCTTAGCAGCGTCCAATTTGTTTCGATAAGCACAGAAATCCCAAATTCCAATTCACTGAGAAAGTTTTGAATGATAAATTCGCTGCTTTTACGTTTTCTTTCTTCCCTGGAATATTTTCCTAATATAATATCTAATTGAGACATACCGCTTGGTTAGAATTCATCGGGTTTTTGAAGAGAAGTATTTCTGCGTTCAACTTAGAAATGTATCATTATGTCGTAAATCGAAAAGGGGAACTCAGCCATTACTTTGTTTATAAAATTAAGCACAGGCTTTCTGAATCTTCTGACAATCCGGTGAAACTAGAGGTCCAACAAATGATAGTAAACAAGCTGTACCGAGTCATTATTACCAACCTTTTAGATCTTAGTTCAAAAAATTGGTCTTTTGCTGCAAAGTAAGAAGTGTTATGATAGAAACTACTTAGTTAGAATTATACTCACTTACTTTTGCCAATGTTGTTCGGCAATAAGTAAATCTTTGGCGGTGAAAATAAGGCGATAAATAGCGCCAAGGTTCCCTTGGCTACAAGGCTAAACTCAATAAATACGGCAAAAAAGTCAATGCCGATTTTTTAAAATAAAAATACGTTTTCGGGAAGTCCAGTCAGCTTTCATTTTAAATTGTAAAACATGTTTTTCGAAATCTCGTGTTCCCTAAATCGTGCGTTTGATATAGATGCTAGCTTTAAATTGAGCGTTTCTCAACCCTAGTATCAAATACAAAGAGATAAAAAATAAATTGAAAAATCAAATCAATCAATAAAGTTGTTTAATTCTAAAGGCATCAATCGCTGCAAATTGTCTCTTCGAATAACAAAATTATCCCTACATAATCACCATGAGAAAAATTTTTACCAGTAACATGCTGCTGCTAAAAATCTTCGAAATTTTTTTTGATTGTTGATGAAGTCACCCAAGGTAATTTTTGTGAAATATAGTTGTTCTTTTCTACGTGTTTCGAAATGGATCTGAGCATTTGTCCACCTCAGGTGTCGTGCAATTCGACAACTCTTTGGATTTCGTATAAATAAAAGTATTACACGAGAAGAACTGGAATATCCTCTTGCTTATGGTGCAGTTGTTTATAAAAATTATATTCAAGTGAGCAAAAATACAAATATTGTAAATTTTCTAAATCCAATGATATCCACCACATTCAGGTTATCTTCATGTTGAGTGCATTCTATCGGCCTCATAATGAATATTGTATAGCTGTGAGCGGTTCAGCTGATACCATTTTCAAGTTCTGGATGGATCAACTTGAAAAATGTTTCAGCAATGTTCACGTATTGGTGAGGTACCGATTATGGGTATATTTTTATTTTGATCTGTCTTCGCAGTCGATTTGATTTGATTTTGCGGAAAGACGGACTCGGTTTTGCTTTTTTTCTCCCAAATCAAGACCTCTCTACTATTAATGTTAGAAGGTTTTTAAGGGAAGTTAATGACCGCATTTCTTTTACTCTCTGTATGCTTATTGTTTTTTTATGTCTATCTTTGCAAAACAATATTTCTGTCCATTTTCCTTGTGGTGGTTTTACAACGATTTAGTAGTAAATAACTGCAAAAGATAGAACTAGATATCTTTTTTGTAGTTGAATGTTTTTGATGCCATTTCTCTTTCGGTGATGACCTGAGTAATTGAATTTTAAAGCTTGCAACTATATTAGATCTTTTATACGGTAAATTTGTTAAGATAACTTCACAGCTTCTGATAATGTGTGCGAGCATGGACCGTAAGCCAGAGTTGCATACGTTACGTGATAGTTGCGTGTCATCAAAGTCTTTGCAGTACTTTTCTGGACATTCCATTATTGATAGATCATCGAGCTGCAAGAAATTGTCACTTTTGAAGTGAGAGAGCACTGATCCCTGATGTACGCCGATCTTTATGACAAATTTCAATTCTACTGTTGCAATTTGCACTTAGCTCATAGCTACGTGAGAGGTTATCCTAATCCACTGATTTACTTTTCTAGAACTACGAGCAGTGCTCAAAATATGGTATGAGTATCTTCTCGAGGTTTGCTCCATGTGCGCAAAAGCTACATGTAACTATTTTCTCCGTATAAAGCGCCCATGACTGCGTATAACTAACAATCGTATACTGTAGATGACGTGAGCAGTATCGATATCCTCAACAAATTCGCACTTTTGGATGAAAACAATTGTGTTCAACTATTCTTTCAATGATTGTGATCACAGCCAAATTAGCCGAATGGAGAACTCGCAAGATCGTCTATTTTTCTCCCTATTGAAATAGTGGTACCATTTGACGTATATCTTGGCTCTGATAACATTATCGAAGAGATCAGTGAGCCAAAAGGCAACAAACATGCACATTATTTCTCAGAAAACCTCTCCTTCATAAGCCAGCTTAGGAAATTCCTTGACGGCT